CCGACTTTTACATCGGATTCAAAGAAAGATTGACGCTCCTCAACTGCGTTCCCTATCGGCAGATACAGCCATCCAGACGGAAGATAACCTCGCACCTATCTTGCTTCATATCACCTATTTGGTCCAGATCTTACCGGACTTTCTAGATTTCTTTGATCGAAGAATTCAATTACTACAACGTAGTAATTCTTTATTTCTCCCCAGCTGAGAAAGTATAGAAGACTATGCGCACAACCGTGCAGAGAACGGATTCCAAGTACGAACTCCCTATACATATAACATTAACCAATAGATTCCAGACCCCGCTCATTTTCGCTACAATCCCCGCTTTACGATTCAGCAGGCCCTGACCCAAGGTCGTCAACATCAAGGCCCTGAGTTGAATAAACTACCAAGAACGAAAGAAAAACTATTTACGGCAGCTTTCGTAATATAGATCTGAATTTCGAAGATAATTAATCTTACTAAGAACCCAATCGATATTCCCAAAACATCCAATTCCCGCAACAAAAAATCAAAAAGGAAAGCTTTCACTCCCTTCCTCGTTTTTTGGTTCATCAGATAACTATAATTCGTATATCGTTTCTCAAGATGGACCTATATTCAAACAATTACCAAAAACTAATTTAAGCTATTCATAGGCAAAACAGTTTACAAAATGATATTCATATTTATTTCTATTGAATACGATAACGCAACTTCCGGCTTAGCATCATGCCTCAGCCTCATGTGGAGATTTAGCTGCGGTCACCGATAACTTGTTGACCCGATATCTCATTGTAGCCCCTAAGGGCTATTCAGCTCCAGATGTCCCTCGGATCGACATCAACTGACGGTCACATTCTCACACCAGAAGAGACCCTGCAGTTGCGAAGGCCCCGAAACAACGGTTCTGTACTTCGCTTACTTTTCTCAACAAGCTCACGTTCGCGTGCGCCGGGCCAAAATGCTGGAGATGGCACGACCTGGTTTCAGGGTTTAGGGGTTTAGTGGCTTAGGGCGTCAGGGTTTAGGGGCTTTGGGTTTACGGGTGTTGGGGTTCAGGGGTGTAGGGTTTAGGGGCTTAGAGGTTCGGGGAGTTGCAGGTCATGCTACTTGTATCCTGAAGAACTAAAGGTTTGCTTTTTTGGGTTATATTCGCATTAGACTAGAAGCTAAAGATTACGTACTATTTTTCTAGGTCACTCTTTCGATTGGGCTTTGGTTTCGGGTTTCGCGTACTCTTTTACTAGGCCACTCTTACGATCGGGCTGTTTCGGGTTTCGCGGGTTAGTTAGCTCTGAGCTCCTGTTTATGTCTGCCCAACCATCTGAGCTAACATGGGGTTTAGGGCTTAGGGGCTTAGGGGTCTGGGGTTTAGGGGGCCTTCGGCTTTGTCTTTTTCATGGGTTGTGACTGATAAGACCTAGATTCTGGAAACCACGGCTCTTCTGGTCTTCATCCGCAATATGAGAGGTTCCGAAAATAGTAGGATCCTCGTTAATAAGGACCCCAAGATAAAGTACCCGCAATTTCCGGAAACTCCCATACCTTACTTCACCAATAAGCCAAGGAAGTAAAAGGTTAAACTTTCAGGCTACTGCTAAAATATCTAAACACAAAAATTTGAAGGTTGGGCTTTTGGAGAACTAAGATAGGACTGGGACCACTGCTTTCTGGTGTTCATATGTACAGAACGCAAATGAAGAACGGTGCTCTTGCAGAAGCTGTGCTGCTGTGCTTGCCTAAGCCCCGAACCTGGAAACCCCAAATCCTGAAACCCTGAAACCTCTCCACCGAACCCTAAAATTCAAAACAACCCCTAAACCCTAAGCCCTAAACCCTAAAATTCAAAACCCTAAAACGCTGAACTCTAAAGTAAACCCAAAACTCTAAGCCCCAAAGAAAGTCCGAGACCCGAAACCCTGGGGTCTACCGGAGGGCTTTGGGTAGGAAAGAAGGGTTTAGGCTTTAGGGTTCATGGGAGTGTTGAGGGCTTCTAGGGCTCCGGGGTCTGGATGAAGGCCCATGGGACGCAGTAAGTAAGATCAGAAGTAAGGCTACAAGTAGTATAACCCGACGTGGCAGCGCCTGGATGCCCGCATGAATATCAGCGACTTCCAGGTGAACGATGGAACTTATAACCCAAAATATAACCCTTATATAAAGGCCTTAATGACTAGAATAGGGCCTGTTATACGATAAATACAATAAGGAGCTCTGGGAATGATATTGGTAATTATTTCGGCCATTATATTATAACCCAAATTATAACCCTACTCTTTCAGCCCCTGGAGCCTTTAAGTAAGGTGTGGGATCCAGGGTTTCTGCTTTGGGAGTTGAGGGTGCTGGTGCAGTCTTAGTAAGTAGGTCAAAAGTAGAGTTCTAAGTACCCTAAATGGAGCTATCTGCCCCTTCAAGTAGATACCAAGATTCTTCCTTAGGATTCCATCGTATACGCTCCCCCAAATCCTCTTCCGGTAATCTATAGCAGGAATTTCGGCCCCTCCTTCGAAGCTCCATCCTAAACCCTACCTGTAGCAGAAAAAAAAACCTTTCAAGGAGCTATAGATAGAAACCATAATAAGGAACCCTAAAACAGTGAGTCTTTTCGGGTGCAGGTAGACCCTGAACCCTCAATGCCCCTGATGAATTCAATCTAGCCTGGCCTTGTGGTTCGATTCAAGCCTGCCCCCGGACACAAGTGTGGGACGCAGATGGAGGTTCCTTTGAAGAGATCCCGAAACACTAAACCCGAAACTCTTTAAAGGGTTTCCTTTAAAGTATCCCTGAAAGAGCCTGTAGAATCCTTTAAGGTAAGGGATCCTGTTTCGAGTTCAGGGTTCAGGGTTTAGGGTTTCGAGTTCAGGGTTTAGGGTTTCGGGTTTAGTTTCGGGTTCAGGGTTTAGGGTTGAGGGTTCAGGGTTCACGGTTTATTGAAGGGTTCTATGTTAGGGTTCAGGGCTCCTTGAGGGGTCTCCTTTAAAGGCGTTCCTTTCGAGGTTTCCTTTAAGGGTTCCTTGAAAGGGGTTCCTTCAAGGTTCTTCTCAAGCTTAAGCTTAAAGGAAACAAAGGGTTCTATGGGAGTTACTATAAGGTTTGCGGCTCAGGGGTGCAGGGTAACGGGATCAGACGTGTGGAAGATGAAGCTAGGGTTGGGGGCTTTCAGCTGTGTTCTTCTTAAGAAGTCCAATAAAAGTTACGTACCATTGTAGGGATCCATGATGAATGATATGGTTTCCCTATTTTGGTAACTTAAATGAAATCCATTAACAAGAACCCAGTCATTGTGTTCAGTTCGAACGAAACACACCGTGTTTATATGTAATTTAAGGAGTGAAATGCGAAGCGGAACCGAAAAGAAATGAAAGCAAAATAATGCAATTTTCTTTATCGGATTTCCGGCCACCAGATAGCAAAGCATATGATCCCGTATCTCCAGCTCTAACCTACCTTGATGTCTATGTCTGCTTGTAGCTTTTCATATCGTTGTCTGCGTCTAGGACCATCCCTCTCTCTCTCTCTCGCTCTCTCGCTCCATCTATCTGTCTATAACTCTCTCTGACCTACCTGTCTATATGTGTGTCCTTCAAGTGTGTAGCGAGCCCCAAGGTAGGATTCGCGTGCCCGGCACTCCTTGCTTTTGCGAGTTTCGGGGCAGAGGAGACACCCAACAAAGGCATCGAATCACATAATCCCGGCTTGGCACTCTGGATTCAAACCCTGAACCAACCACATCTGAAACTCTATACCCTCAACCCCCATACCCTAGATTCGCTTGTAGTGGTACTTCTCGTGACTCCAAGATCCAGCAGCAGCAATTAGGGCTTTTGGTTTAGGGCTAATTGCTGCACATAGACGGCCTACCTAGGTTCCTGAGTAGCCCATTCATATTTAATAAGGGACCTATAAAGGTACCATGAGGGGTTTTGGGTCTACGAAGTGGTCCTCGAGCGAGGACACTACCACACACACCAACTCAAGACAGGGTGGCCAACCTACACCCAAAACCCCAAACTCCTGTTCCAGTTTAAAGGAGCTGAGGTGCCACAAGCTGAGGCTGGTGCACAGATCCTCGTCGTCGCTCTCGCAACCTGCTTGCAGGGTCGCACGACTTAGTATAAGTAGGCAGTAAAGTAGATGTATAATTACCATAAAGGGATCCTAGCTGGGGTTGTGATACTTGACCTACACGACCCTTAAAGTGGCGGTAACCCTAACTTCTAAACCCTAAACCCAACCTACATGTGGCTGGTTATCTAAACTAGGGTCAATTGTCGTGTCCTTTCGAAGAGTTTGGAGTTGGGTGCGACTTTAATAGGCTTTCGATCGGGGGTTCTTGGGTCGGGTCTGCGGCATTGGCTTGGGCATATCTCCGAGGACGTGTGGAATGTTGCTATAATAGCTATTTTCAGGGGCTTGGTTGATAAGAAACCGAGTGGGGCTTGTTGTCATTGTACTCAGGAACCCTGCGGGATGGTATGTTCGGCCTCCATTACAGTAGAGTACCAAAACCAATGTGCGCACATATGTATACGGCAGTGTCCGAAAATGGGGACCCTAATATAGTACCCAAAATAGTAGGATCCTTATTATAACGACCCCCAAATAAAGGTACCCCTCTCGCAAACTACTTCGTCTGACCCAGGTCAGCAGTCAAACAGAAGCCTAAGCCCTGAACCTGAAAAGAGTGCTGTGCGGGCTCAGAGTTACGGGGACAATCTCGCACCTTCTCTTCAACGCCAGGTTTGATTCGAGTTAAACGAAACAGGGTTACGGTTCAGGATTCTCTTCTAGGCTGCTGAGCAAATAAAGTGCATTTCGAAGTCGAACTCAAAAGCTTCAAACCTAAACACTATAAACCCTATACAGAAACCCAAGTGCCCGTAGCAACATCCATTCCAGCGCCCCAATGTCGCCCCATCGATGTTCCCGACCCCCCAAAGCCTCATATAGGGAAATTAAGTTTTACTATCATGGCAACCCCTAAACCCTAAACTCAAAAAAGACAAAACAGAGGCCTCAACACCGAGACGAAGTTGCGAAGGCGATTCTCCAAATCTCAGATGTCAGGGTTTAGGGCTTTAGGGTCTTGGGGTTTTTAGGGTTTAGGGGTTTAGGATTTTCCATGGAGGTTCATGAGTAGTTATAAGTGGGCACAAAAATGAGAATAGGGTTTTGGTGGATACGTTACAAAAGTTGAAATAAGGAGCCTAAAGGAACGGGTGTCGGACTGACACGGACGTCTGGTTATTATACGGGCCTAAGTAATTGCCAATGCTTGTCTTGGGGGTTCTACTTTCTATAATTATAGTATGATATACCCCTAAACCCAAAACCGAATTCGAATCATTACGGCCCCTAGACTAGTTAAAGGTCCCCAGGTCAAGTGGGACATGTGCTTCAGAGTTTGAGGTTTGGGTTCAGGGTTTAGGCATTTGGGGTTTGAGGTTTATGCTTTGGGGTCTAGGGTTTATCTTGGGCGTTTGGGGCGGTTTAGGGTTTTCGGGCTTAGGGTTTAGAGTTTTCGGTATGTGGGACTTTCAGAAAATCAAAGACCTAATGCACAATTGGATCGTCATAGCGGCCCCTGAATGAGGCACACCTCGCTTGCACAACCCCCATAACATGCAGGGCTGATGCACCAATACTCTTCCGTGATACACCTCTCCTTAAGCCCTAGCCCTCGCAATGCTGAAAAGAATATGCCGCCCCGCCCTATAGGACCGTCATAAGATCGCTACAACATCCCCAATTCATCGCTCAGCACAACAGATGCAGCCTCAGAAAGAAGACAGAAGGAACAACGGCCTACACTCGGCCTATATAGAACCCCCACAGCAAGCTTATGAGAGCTTTGTAAGCCCCTTGTAGAACTCTTCGAACACCCCTTCTACACCTGGACTACGCATATGCCAGGAACCCCCTAAACCCTTTTCAGCATGGGCTTGGATTGTGTGCCAGCGAACACTCCTCAACAGCAGGGCCTTCTCGTTTGACGAGGGATGCAAACGCGGGAGCGAAAGAAACACGAGAAGTGAAGAAGCGTCGACGATCTCCTGAACTATACCCTAAACCCCAAACCCCTAAACCGTGAACTCAGCCCGGTCCTTTGGAGAACTCAGAGGCTAAGGAACGTTGGAAGAAGAGCTGGGGACCCAGTCTCGAAGAGCTCTCACGCGGAAATTGCGATTTAGTGTGTTTAAGTGGGTCGTTGTCAAAATTATGGTCCCTTTTTGGGTACCCTAGATTAGAAATGAGGTGCCGTATTAAAGTAAGGACCCAAAAAGGAACCCTAATTTTGACAACCACCCAAGTAGGTTCTTCAAGGGTGATGGTCTTGGCGAACGAAGCCTGGCTTTGCAAGCACACTCCAGGTTGTAGGTTTAAGTAGAGCTTGGGGTCTAGAGATTTCGAGCTAGACTGCAATCAGCAAGCCCTTACGACATCCGGGCAAGCCCCAACTTCTTCTCATGGCCTCCGAAACCTCAGTCCCCGTCCCCTCATCCCGCAAGAATCTAAGCAACCCTAAGCCCTAACCCTAATAGGGTTTTAGGGTTTAGGATTCAAGGCCCAAATCCAACCCGTCCAACCCTAAACCCTGAACCGTAAGCTCACGAAAACGATGCCCGTGTCCCAAACCCTCCCGAACTCACAGCTGCAGCAAAGGACGCGAGCCCAGGACGGACCGAGCTCTAGACCCGCAACCGTTAAAACCCTGCACCCTAAAGGTTTAGGTTTCTGGTTTTTTGAGGGTTTAGGGCCTAGGGTTTCTTAGATTTTTTAGAGAGAGACTGCTAGCTTGCCCCAAGAAACCCTGAAACCTGAATCCTCCATCCTAAACCATACCTATAGTCTCCGATGTAGTTGCTTTTTTGGGGGTACCGTATAGGATCCTAATTATATATTTGGATAAACCAAAAAAGGAACTACAATGGAGACTATAGGTAAACCCTAAACCTTGGAGACGAGCAGCCGGAACTCCAAATCACGGCTGGGACTTTGATCTTGCAGTTGAACCCTAGCTCAAACCCTTAAACCTTCAGCCTAGCCTGAGCCCTAAACCCTATACCCTAACCCATAAAATGAAACCCACTACCTAGCCTCAACCCCAAATCCCAGCATCCTATCCTAAACCTTAACTTGTCATAACCCACAGTGGATCCCTTTTAAGATACTGGTATGTCTACTTAAATCCCAACCCTAAACCCCTTGAACACCCTGAAGCCCCAAAACCCCAAAGACCCCCAAGAAGCTCCAAGTCGGAGGCCGAGCGACCCCTGCCGGCGCCTAAACCTTGGTGGGGTATGCTGGTGTGGGGTTTATGATATGGGGTTTAAGATTTACGATTTTAGGGTTTTGGATTTTAGGGTTTAGGATTTTGGGGTTTAGGGCTTGGGGTTCAGGGTTGAGGGATTGAGGATTTTGGGGCAGCTTCGGAGTAAGCCGCAGAGCGGATAAGTAAGAAAGACACCGCGGTGTGTCGAATAAGGTTTTGGGTATATGACAGTATTCTAAGGCACCTTAAGGAACCGAACGACAAAGGAACAGGCTTCGATATTTGGCAGGTGAGCGTGTCGCGCGGTTAATTGCACCGCTTAATTTGCTTTGTCAGAAGGGCTGTATGCGGCTCCATGCAAGGACTTGCTAGGATATACATCAATCAACCGATATAGGGATGCTTCGTTTGATATGAGGAGTTCATAACAAGGTGCATCGAGCTCTCTATGTCTCGAACCAGCACGTAGCCCGTGGAAACAGTATACGTAGTTAGTTGCAGTGAGTGTTCACTTGAAGAGTAATTCGTTCAGAACATGTGCAGTAGCCGGTTTTCCAGGCACGGCAACGGAGAAGAACCATGCAGATGAAGTCTTCGTGGAATACTGTTTCTTTGCTGACGACCTCGCGCTACTTCAGCAGGGAGTTGCGCCCGGTTTGAGAATTTCGATGTGCGGCAGGGCTTTAGCGCAATGTTGATGTTTCTTGCGCTGTGCTTTGCTCCATCAGGACTCGGGCCCACTGTGATGTGAAGATTAATAAGTCCGCCCTTCGAGTCCTCCATATAACTCCCATACAGCCCTGGTGGCAAATAGTGTAGGGGCCTTCAAAATTAGACTAGGGTTTTAAGGCCCGCTATACGATATGTATATAGTAAGGAACCCCCACAATAGTCTAGGTAAGTTTTAAAGCACCTATATCATAGAGCCCTTATAGTATCCCTTCTAGTTAACCCTTATAGACCCTTTAAAGGAACCCTAAACCCTAAACCCTACACTCTCCTGTTAAAGGAACCCTAGACACCTCAACATTAGTAACAAACTTCCGTAAACCCCAAACCCTAAACCCTACCCTAAACCCTAAACCCTAAAACCCTGAACGCCTAAACCCTAAGTGCCTTAAGATTTAGGGTGATTTAGGTATGGTTGGGCTCTGGAGGGCCTGCACCTCCGGACCGTGGAAGCATGCCTTGCCGGTGGGTGCTTCGGATGTGGTAGGCTCCATTTAGGGTTCATATTTAGAATCCTATAACGTGACCCCAAAAACGAACTACTTTGGAGCCGCTCGGTAAGCCACGGAACGAGTTTTGGGATTCGTTTAAGGGTTTTTTGAAGGAGCCCATAGAGGGGTAGGGTTTACGGCTTAAGGGCCCTAGAACAAGGTTTTGGAGTTCAGGATGAGGGTTGAGCGGGAGCTAGTGGGAAAGACCTTTAACATAGGAGGGCTTGCATGACAAGGAAACCATCACAAGGAACCCAACAGGGTTAGGTTTACACGCAGGCGACGGGGCAAAGTACTGTTTGGGTACATGGACACTTTTTTTCGATGTATTCCAATCCAAGGCCGCTTCAGAACGTTACAAACTTACCTTTACAAACAGCTACCTTCCAGCAAGAGCCGAGGAGCTTTGCAGCACTTTGTCTTCTCCGAACAAGCCCTGCAGGATCTGGACTTTTGGGCTTGGGGACTCGGGGCTGACAGTTTGGGGTTTAGGGCTTCTGGGTATTGGAGTATACGGTTTAGGGTTTATGTACAATTACGGTTTGAGGTTTGGTGTTTGAGGATTCGGCCTAAGGCCTAAGGGTGTCAAAGGTTTGGGGTTTAGAAAAAATATGGTTTAGGGCTTCCTGTTGACCCTGAATCTTTAAATCCCTTCCACCGGCAGCACCGTCACTTGCGCAAAGAAATTTGCGTCAATTGCGCAAAGATTTGGTTCGTCACTTGCGCAAAGACGGTCGTCGAATCCATTGTAAAAGCCCAATGAAACTGGCACTTGTCGAGGCCGGCGGCGGCGGACCAAAAGTACGTTTTCGGCTGTTTTGAGGAACACCTCAGAACCATCGAAAATTCATTTTTCGAGGCTTGAAAAGCACGTTTTCAATGGTTTTCAGGCGTGCGTTTTCAGAGTACGTTTTCAAGGGTTCGGCCCATGTCTTGCGGGAGAAGGGGGGCAGGGGGAGGTGGAGGGGAGGGGGAAGTGGGGGAGGGATGATGGTAACGTCCATCCATTCTTCGGAGGCAGCTTCCTTGGCATGGTTTAGCAGCATCATTACTCTGAAAAACCATTGAAAATGCCCTTTTGGAGGCTTGTTAAAGAACGGGCTTCACTAAGGGTTCCTACTCTCACTGAAAGGCGGACACTTGTCCTGGAGTTCGGAGTGTGTCCCGGTAGTCTCGAGCCTATGCGCAACAGACGTGCGCCGGCTTTTCCTGGGCATTAGCACTGTAGTACCTGCAGCTGTACTGTCACAGGTGGAATGTTTAACACCCCGCCTTCGAAGTTAGTGCCGGTAAGTTCCTTACCAAACTGGCTTCGACACTTCTTTGATTTACAAGACAGTACCTGCGCTGCGGTTCCTTTTCACTCCAAAACAACAGTTGTTCCTCTACGCAAACGTTGCCGTTCGCTTGCAATCCTCTCCAAGGTCGCTGACTGTACAAAGAAACTGCACCAGGTACTTAGATCACCACAGAAACAAAAAAGGCTCTACCACGGTTCCTGTGTTGCTGCTTTCACTGCTTTTCCTCGGCGCTCTGGCCTCACTGCTTTTCTTGGCTCTCTGGCCTCACTGGAAGGTTCTTCTTCGTCGTCTTCAACCACCAGGACTTCGGGGTCTTCGCTTCCTCTGGCTGTTCCCTTGCTCTTTCCTTTTCCTTTGAAGTAGTCCTCGAGCTGCTTTGCCTGTGCCTGGCATTTCTCGTTTCCTTTACTGTCGCGGTTCCCTTTCTTCCATCCTTCTTCTCTTGTTCCTGAGTACCGGTACCAAAACTTTGTTCCTTCGCTCCACTTCCACTGGTACCTTTTGTTGTCAAAGCTGCAGACCGCAAACCAGTTTCCTTCCTGCTCTCCTTTTCCTTGGCCTTTCATAAAAGAATCCTCGCTCACTGGGCCTTTTCCTTCAAGTTCCTGATCCTTTTCCTTGTCCTTGTCCTTTCCTGCTTCCTTTGTTGCTGCTGGGTCTGCTTCTGCTTCCTTTCCTGTTTCCTCTTCCGTGGGTGCCTGCGACCCGGCTGCTGATCCTCTGCTTTCGAGTTCCTGTGTTAGGCTGCTGATCCTTGCCTTATCCTCTTTCCTTTCCTTCAACAATTCCTCCATCATCTTCTCCAGCTTCCTGATCCTGTCGCTTTCGCTGTCGGTGCTTCCCGACGCTGCTGCTGCATCCTTCTCCGCCTGCTTCTTTGCGATGTACGCTGCTGACTCCTTCTGCTCCTGTTCTCTGTTCTTCCTTGCTTCTTCTTCCTTCCTCTTCTTCTCTGCTGCTGCCGCTTCCTTGTCTCGTCTTTCCTGTTCTGCTGCTGCTTCCTCTAGCACTCTGCGTGCCATTGCGATCTTCTTCTCTCGTGCTTCCTTTTGCTCCTGTGACTTCCTGTCTTGCTCTTCCCAGTACCTGCGATCTTCTTCGTCACGGGGCTGAAATCCTGATGCTTCTGCTCTTTGCTGTGGCTTTCCTGTGCCTTTTCCTGCTTTGGCTCCTTTTCCTCCTTTTCCTCCTTTGCCTTCTTTGCCATTTTTCCTTTGCTTCCTTTCTGGTGCTTGTATGTGTAGTCGTGGTCGAGCCATTCCTTTTCTCCTGTCACTCTGTGCTGCCTGTAAATGTTGCCTCCTTCTGAGTACTCCTTCCACTCGCTGGCGTCGTCGTAGGGGTACGGAAAAGCTTCTGTTTCCTTTTCCTTCTCTCTTGCTTTCTCCTTGCTTTTCTCATTGATCTCTCGGATCTTCCTCTTCCTTTCCTTCTCCTTTTCCTCTTCGTCCTCTTCTTCCTTTTCTTCCTTTCCTGCTTCATCGGGGTACTTTCCGGGATCTCCTCCAACATAGCTTTGCGTGTAGTACTCGTTGGCGTTCTCGGCGAGGTCCTGGTACTCCTCATTGTCCTCCAAGACCTTGTCGAAGTAATCTTTGTCAGACCATTCTGCGAGGTCTGGGTCTGTTCCTTGTCCTTCTCCTCTGCTTCTTCCATTCTTTGGCGAACTTGTAGGTGACGTAGCCCTCGATGTAGTTCCTTGGCCGTGTCCTTCTCTTCTGAAAGTTTAAAACCTTTTACCAACGTCAACTTCTAATCCCTTGTCAACACACGGGCGGCCCACACCATTTTCCCACTGTGCTTGAGCCGTCGTTTGACCTACGGAGACTCGCAGTGAAACTAGCTAATTTGGGCATACACAGGAAATTGAAATGTTTGTTACGCCCTCATCGACTCAGGTTGTATTGTACAACTTGATTCGATCATCAAACAATTTCTACCATCCATCCACTTCACCATTGTCTCATGCTCACTCAGAGCCTTGCCATTTGTCGCATGCTCCTTTGAGCGTCATCTTCACTTTAACCATAATCCTTCTCTTCATCTTCGCTTGTCGTGGAGGTAGTTGACTTCAAGTCCTGCACCGGAAAATTTTCAGTGAAACTGTCGCTTCAGAAACCTACACTCCTTTTCGAAACTAAAAGCAGGCTGCACTGCACTCACTCCCTTTTTCACGTCGCGGTCGACGCTGTAGTCTGGTGCTGCCTTTGTTTGGCTTACCTCACTCCTCAGATCAGCCTTTTAGCTGTCCTTGTGCTGTTGTCGTAGACTGGTTGAACCAATCGTCATTTTGCACGGCCTTTGTTCATCCGTGGCTTTCCGTTAGCATCTGCAAGTAAGCATACAGCCTTTCTCGCATGCTAAGTGAAACTTCTTTGCTTGCGCCCTCACGGTCTGGCGTCTTGTTGAAAAATCACCTTTCTCGCATAGGCGTACTTGGGTGCTGGACTTTCTCCCTTAGTCCAGATTGTCGTTGCCTTCTGTCCCTTTTCTTTCTTCTCGGGACTCTCAGGTGTGCTTTTCTTCTCCGTCTTCTTTTTCTCTTCTTGCTTGTCCTTCTTCCGATCATCCTTCTTCTTGTCGCCTTTCTTTTCATCCTTGGTCTTGGTGCCCTTTGTCTCATCCTTCTTCTCTTCCTTCTTCTCATGGTCCTTGCTTGAACCGGCACCGCTTTCGCCTTTCCATTCATCTTTTTTTCCTTTATCATCTGCCTTCTTCCCACCATCATCATCGATTCTGACCACCCTTGGCTTTTCCTTGTCGTCAGGCTTCTTCGACTTCTTAACCAGATTCTCCTGACCCCAACTTGGATTGGGTTTCAATTTCTTTCTTCACGTGCTTCGAAAGCCGCCACTTCATCCTTCCAGTGGCAAATATCTGGACTGTGAGCCCCCCACCCCACCATCTTTTGGCGGGCTTGCTCCAACGGTAGCTTCTGGATCTTAGTTTGTCTTATCCAGCAATTCCTGCACCACATGTGCTTCGGTTTAGCTCGGTCAGCTACGTCTGGTAGCCATCCGCACTCGGTGCGGGCGTGACTTAACATCTTCTTGCAAAACTGACTCTTGTGACCTTGCTGCTTGCAATAATAACAAGCTATATCCTTTTGCCACCATGGGGTTTCACCTCCTTCTCTTCTTGGGGTACCTTCTTGATTTGTCTTTGGTGTCCCCGTTGGCTCGGCAGGCTTGTCACTTCCCTTTACCGTTGTTTCTGCAAACTTTTCATCGAGTCTCCTTTTCAACCTTTCGGGTAGCATCTTCGTCTTTGTCATCCACTTCAACTACCGCTTCGGCAATTGGCCTTGGCATCTTTTTCTCTTGGATCTTCCGCTTTTCACCCTTCTCATCTTTCGTCTCACTTCCAGCACTTGCTGTGCTCTTTCCTCCCGGCGTACCAGCCGCCGATGCTGTCGCACTTGCTTCTTTCTTCATCTTTGCAAGTCTGAGCACTTCAGCTAAGCCCTTGCGCTTGCGTTCCACATTTTCATCTGGCTGCTCCCTTAGGCGTTCCAGATGTGGAAATGCTTTCAGCAGTTCTCTTATGCACGCCTGAGTGTTACCGACTATCTCAGCAAATGTCTCGACGCACTGCTTGGATTGCATCACTTGGTTCACTCGATTCCTTGAGTCTTCTATCTCTTCTTCAACCGAATCCATCTGTGTTCTCCTTGCTTCGAGCTTCTGCTCCATTTCCTTTTGGAGTTCCACCACAACAACATCGTAGTTGGTCTCCATTGTCTTCAATTGGCTGTCACCGCGAACTTCGTCTTCTCCAAGTATCGTCAACGATTCTTCAAGTTCTTGTGCTGCATCCGATAGCTTGTCTTTCAGGCTGTTCATCTGCAACAAGTAACCAACCGGCAAGTTGGCTATTGGCCTTTGCACTGTTTCCCTTAAGACTATGAAGTCTCGCAATAGGCTTTCTGACGGCAATCCCTGTTCCAGGGTTCGCACGTTTATTCGATCCGACACAGCTTCCCACATCGAATCCGACACGGGGTCGTATCCTTGTTTTCAGTCCATGATGCTTGGTCCTTCGTCACCTGGTTCATCAGCATCTTTGTTCTCTGCCGCTTCTTTAGCCTCTGTGCTTTCTTCAGCTTGTGTTTCTTGCTCCTTTCCTTCTTCTTCTG